GAACAATTTACGTCACGTTTTTTATCTACCTAAAAGCTATCTTTGGACAAAAAATGAATTCAAAGAAACAGATTTTTCAGCTCTTGCCACGTAATCAAGATTTTGCTCGATTTTTCTTGTCGACCGTCGCTCTTAATTAAATCATTACGTGTTCGATAGTTCAGATTAGTGCGCACATTTGTACATACACCACCTCCATTCCTTCCGTTAACTGACCGACGTTTCTGACTTCTGCAAAGCCAGGTATGTAGACGTCGTCATCAAGTACTGTAGAGTCTAATTTTGACTCGTTCATTTGTGAAATATCAACTTTTATAAGAGGACATAAAAACTCTAAGTTCGTCGATACGAGGCAACAGACTGTTAAGGGACTCAAAGGCTATTTATTATTTTATCGATACACTTGTGACTTTGCTGTAATTTAAGTCTAGCGCACATTTAGCCGCATTGAAATACACAACACGCAAAGGGCAGTTTCTCATAGACTAGAAAATTATAGGCATCCATAGGGGGGAGTGTCACATCAGTTATGAACCTCCGCGGGTTTTTTCAGCAGAAGAAACAAGTATAAATTACTGAGTTTCAGATATAGTGATATTAATTTTTAATCTTAAGGGTAGTTTACACGTAACTGTTTTTCGGTGCGATCTTTGCAAAGAAAACATATTGTAAACTCAAAATTCGGCCTAATTTACCGTTTGGGTAGAATCATGAGACGGAAAGATTGACCTATAAACATAAACTGTGAACAGAACGCAATCAAAGAGTTTCATGAATCTTAACCAGCCTTTAGAAAGCATTAAATTTCATGGGCCATTAGCCTCTCAAAGGGGGAGTGGTGGGTAAGTAATGCACACGTACGGGTAAGAATTCTTTTCCAAGATTACCGCGTGGCACGAAAATTCTGCGGGAGTTTATTTTTGCGTATTGGCTTTTTTTTGTTTTGCGGGAACTAATCATTTACAATTAGAGCGGACTGGTTCTTCTTGCAGGGAATTAATTTTTGCGATGCTCAGGAAGTCCAATAGAAAATCCCCGACAAATCACTGTTGAGCTGAAAAAATTATGTGAGAAAATCGCTAACAAATATCGCAAAAATCGCAGGAATAACAAATGTAAACAAGATTCAAGACTTAGAGAAAAGGTCAAGAAGGGCCCCGAAAAGTCAGCAAATGTCGCAAAAATCGCAAAAGTAACAAGGAGTTTTCTTGCTAGTTAAAAACACCAAGTAACAAGTATCGCAATAATCGCAAGAATAAAAAATGTAACAGAATTCAACACAAGTAGAAAGAGAAAAGGCCAAGAAGGGTGCCGAAAAGTCCGCAAATGTCGCAAAAATAAAAGTAACAAGGATTTTTCTTGCTAGCTAAAAACACGTAATAATAAATATCGCAAAAATAGCAAGAATAATAATTTTCACCAAATTTTAGACTGAGAAAGAAAAAAGGCGAAGAAGGGCCTAGAAAAGTCCCCAAATGTTGCAAAAATTGCAAAAGCAACGAGGATTTTTCTTGCTAGGTAAAAACACCTAGTAACAAAATGTAATTCCCGGTGATGCGAATTATATTCACTGGCTACACGAGCCGCCACCTCCATTATCTACGCGTCGACGAGCACAGACGCTCATAATTGGCAAACACCTTAAAGAAAAAGAGCAGCAAGAGCCAACTAATCTCAAAGAACGTTTTAATATCCTTAAGAAATGCTGAGGAAGGTTTTAGGTCCCTTATTTGATGAGATGTTATTAATTAAGGAAAAGAGACCAAACTTAAAGACTTAAACTGACTCCTTTCCAGCAAACATTTTCACTTTATGGTCCTTAATTATTCCATTCTTTTGATCTTCAAATTTCATGTTGTGTTTCACACCTTTGTTTCCTGTAGTTTGTTTTATTTGCATTTGATAATGGTGACATGTCGTCGCCGAAACGTCATCTTTTAATAGCGTTGATTTTCGTCCTTAAATTGTCTTGATCGTTTTGATATCATTCCTTCTTTTGACTAAATTGTGACGGTAACCATATTATGGTGATTTATTATCAAAAGGTACTAGGTTTTGTATGCAAGAAGTATTTGGTCACTAGCTCTATAATTTACAGCGTCAAGGTATGACAGTGTGCTGCTTTTTGATACAATAACGTAGGATATAATTTATAGTCAATGGTTTTAACTGATGAATTTTTCATGCTGCTGGCCGTTGTTGACTTTTACATACATGACATGATAAAGAGTTTTTCGCGATTATTCAAACTGTAAAAGGAAAGGAGTGTAAAATTTAGTGCGGCAGAAATTTATTGTTGTTGATGATTCATGAGTAATAGAACGAAGCACACGTAGTGAAGAATTGTATCAATTGTTGTTTAAAATAAATGGATTGGCATACACATATATTAAATAATATTCATTTAGTAATTGTTGTTAATTATACATCTTCATTTGAAAGAGAAGGATTAACAAATTACTGGCAATCACTAGTTAGATGACTATTCATGTATTAATGCGCGGATCTGATGACCCACTTTCTTTTCTCCCAATTTGCTATTCTTGATATTTCGGGACGATTGTTATGGTTGGTTCTTGGCCATGCAAAGTTCTGCTTACGGCTTTTACGGTTGTTGCTAAAATTTTTGTGCCCTTGTGCGAGCGACACTCCTTTTTATGCATTGTAGCTGTATATATGTTAATGGCGGAGCGAAGCAAACACATCATGATATTGACATTACAGTATTTTATTACTGACAGTAAGTAGTCTCACGTTTGTATTTGATGATTCCTTTTCGCGAAAATGGAACCCATTACAAAATTACTGGACAAGAACGTATCTCAGTTAAGATATGAAGAAATGGTGAGGCGCGGGTGCTTTTGGCCCCTTTCTTGCCGTTCAGCAATTCTTGGCTATTCAACACATGTTACTCAAGCGCAATTTGTGGTCTTATCCATGGCCTTCTTTACCTTTATTCTTTACAAATCTGAACTTTTACAAATTGGAACAGTTTTGGTCGTTATCGATGTTGCAATCAAATTCTTGTTACTTTTGCGAATTTTGCGAAATTTGTGGACTGTTGGACTCTGGGCCTTCTTTAACTTCGTTCTTTTTAGGTATGAACGTTTGCAAAATTTATTATTCTTGGTATTGATTCGATGTTTGTTAAGTCTTTTTCTATGATTGCAATGAAAATTCTTGTTACTTTTGCGATTTTTGCGACATTTGCGGACTTTTCAAGGCCGTTCTTCGCCCTTTTTTCTAAGTCTAGAATTTGGTTATGTTTGTTATTCTTGCTATTCTTGCCATATGTGTTACTCAGTCCTTTTAGATAGCGACTTGCTCGAGGCCCTTCTTGGCCTTTTCCCTTTCTAAGTCTAGAATTTTGTTAAATTCGTTAAATTTACCATATTTGTTACCGCTCAATCTTTTCACATGGTAAGAAAAATTCTTCTTACTTTTGCGAAATTTGCGGACTTCTCGAAACCCTTGTTGACCTTTTCTCTTTCGGCTAAGTCTAGAATTTTGTTAAATTTGTTATTCTAATTGCTATTTTTGCCACATTTGTTACTCAATGTTTTCAGATAGCAAGAAAAATTCTTGTTTCTTTTTGCGATTTTTGCGAAATTTGCTGACTTCTCGAAGCCCTTCTTAGCCCTTTCTCTTTCTTAGTGTTGAATTTATTCAAATTTGGAAATCTTGCTATTCTTGCAATATTTGTTACTCGGTGCGTTCATGCACTGGTAGCAAGAAAAAATTCTTTTTACTTTTGCGTTTTTTGCGGAATTTGCTACATTTGTGATAGCAGTTTCCTTTATTTTTATTTATTTTTTTTTTGGCTAAAATTGCGCAAACTATTTGCTAGCAAGATCGATCCTGGACATAGGTGAAAAATTTAATACAAATTATATGTTCCGTTGTAATTTTTCTTCTTTTTTTTTGAGGGGGTGAGGAAATAACTCGGTGAAATTGGTTGAAAAGAATTTTTATGATTTGTAAGGTGCAATGTTTTAACCGTTTTTAAAATTAATATATGGCCATAATTAAGAATAAAGGCGAGACAGTCTTGAACCATAAATTATTTCTTGAAATTAATATTTTAAAGATAGTAAAATATTTAGTAAAATATATATTTTTAATTATTTCAGTATATTCTGAATGGTTTCTTAATGATGCCACTTATAGGCACAATAAATGTTTTTTAAGAATTTTGAAACATTAGGTAAAAAAAAAAATAGAGAAAGAAAATAGCCATGAGCTGCAAGCCAGTATCAATAGGAAAAAGTCAATAAACGTTCTTCTGTTTGCCAGTTTTACATTTTTCCTAATATCTACAACAACTGCAATTACTACAGTAAACGGCTATTAGTAAAATAAGGTCTGATGGGATTCCCACGGTCTCTTTCCTTAAACCATCGCCTGGTTCGAAAGGATAAAAAGGAAGGAGAAGCTTGAATGTAAAACACGTTGGACAGTGCATCAGAAAAGATTGTTAAGATTAATGATGTACATCAAAGCACCCTTTCTTTTAGTTTTCAAACCTTATTGTTAACTTACAGGTGGCTCTTATAAACAGGTAAGTTTCGAAGAGTAGAATAACGATAAAGGGGAAAATGGAGATTTTTATGTGATATTCACTCCCGTTAATGCATTACAAAAGAAATGAAAAAACTGATAATAGTCATTATAAAATAATGGAGTTTTTATTGCAACTAAGACATGTTTAATTTATAACAAGAATTTTTTCAATATAACGGGACGGAACAAACCTTTTTAAAGGTTTTGCGGTCAACAAATACGCGTATATATCCCAAATTTAAAAAAAAAACAAACAAACAAACAAACAAAACAAAACAAAAGCAAAACAAAAAAAAGGAAATTTTTCTGTTTCACATAGTTTGGACCTTTCTTATTCTCTAAGTTGGTTAATGATTTAATCATATCTTATTCCTATTCTTTTTTACAAATGCAATAAAAATACCTCTTTTTTTGTATTTAGGGAAGAATCTACCTATTGTATGTGCAATAAAAGCCACAGAGCTACCATGGAGTTGTCTATCATTCTCATCATCATTGGTATGACTGTGGTTGTTAAAGGAAGCGGTGGTGTTCCAAAAGGACTCCATTTTGTTGGTGTTGGTTATAATCTGCTGAAAGGGAACCCTGAAGGAGATGCGAGATATGGGGGTGTCGATCCAGGACTTCTTATCACTAGAAAGATCTTTCAGCTTACCTGGAACACTAACAAGAAGTCTGTAGACAACAGGTTCAGTGTGCCAGATCAGGTGACCTTTGCGCCACGTTTATCCTGTGTTAGAACCTACAAGAAAGAAGTGTTTTTCGGTTCTAAGAGTTATCAAGAAAAACTGAACGTCGATGTCCAAGTTAGCGGTAAGCGGAAAAAGAGAGTGCTAAGATTTCAATCTAAGTAATATCACACACTGATTCTGTGATAAGAAACGACTATGCTGTCAAATGTAAAACCGTTTATACTTATAGGTAGGCAGATGCTGCGCTTAAAATTCTCTTAAGGAAACATCGCTTTTACAGCCTTTGTTGTGACTACTTTTACAAGTGATTTTCACTTATAGTAATTGCCTTTGAATTTTTAAACTATTTATTCTTTTAAATTTCTGTATAGGTGACTACGGAAAAGGTTTGCTGGGTGTCGCTTTTTCGCTAAGTTCAAGTAAGAAATAAAATGAGTTACTTCTGTTTAATTTCTAATTTAGGGAATAGTTTAGGTGGCTGTTAAGCCAGGTTTGACTGCAGTACATTTTCAAAACATCTTTTTGATATTAGCTCAGATATAGTTACTCTGTACTGTCCAATGATTCTTTGTATAATGATGCATTGCCGTCAATACTTATAGGATTCGAAAAGGTGAAGAAGGAGACATCTAAATATCACAATGTGTTTTATGAGGATAAACATGTTTGCAACAAGGGACGCGCCCGCTACCAGTTGGATTTAGCTCCAGTAAAGAAGTTCTCGGTGTCAGCGGACTTTGCTGCTACAGTATGCGCTTTACCAGGAAAATACAACGAAAAAGCATACTTTGATTTCTTAGAAGGCTGGGGAACGGTTAGTTTGTTTAAATGTTGATTAATTCGCTTAATAACCGAGATTGATGTCATTTTGACGTGCATAATTGTGTCTGTCTTTCCGTTTTTCTATGTATTGTATTGTATTGTTTTGTTCTGTTTTGTTTTGTTTTTTTTTTCAGCACATTGTAGTCGAAGTAGAATTGGGGAAGAAAATAACCGAACGCTTTAAAAGTTCAAAAGCAGAATTCACTAAATACGCAATGTTGAACGTAAGTTTGAGAATATATACTTTTCTCTAGTTTTGACAAGCTTTGATAAGAAAAAACCTCCGGGGTCAGTCGGCTCACTGAATTTAGTTATTTCATTTTTTTTTTCTTGCATGTATGTTTGTTTTTGTTTTTCTTCCGAAGTTACATTTAATAGTTGTTAAGTCGTCACCATGGAACTGGGCTATACCAGGAGAAGTAATCGGCTCCTGGCTATACAGCTTTTAATTAGAAATTTTTTTTCTTATAAGACCTTTCCTAAAATTTGGGGGTTTTATGTCTACAAATCGTTAACGAAGTTCATTATTGCACAATACTCTTTTTTTCAGAGTATTTTCTACAGACATATATATAACGTTTTTAAATGCCGGATTACACCAAAGGGGGGGGGGGGGAAGGTGGATTAGGTAACTCTATTGTTTTCCACCTAAGTTTCTTGACCCACTCCGCCTGCCAGTATGACGTCACATAGTAACGGGCAAGAGCCTCGCGTCGCTTGTGCAAATTAGCAATGGATAGGACAGTTATTTGGACTAGCGAGGTCGAGGAAAAGCAAAGAAGCTAACAAGTATCGCTATATATCGCTTATTTGATCGAATGTGTGCGTGTGAACTTCGGTGTTGCTCTAATCTGCTTGTGTAAACAGTTTTGGTATTTTGTGTCCGTGATTGTAAAATTTTGTTAATTTGTTTTGTGAGCCGTGTTGCGGGATCGCCATTTATTTCACGGGACCGGTAAGGTCATCAAAACTTGAATCTTTTTTTCTCTAAAATAGGCAAGATCTAATCTCCAGAATAGGAGGTTCTATTCACAGATCATGCATGTTTATATTTCCTCTATTCTTTTGCTAATTAAATGGGCCTAACATATCATTCCTTTCGAGTGCGGGCCTCTGTTGATCTCCTAATTTTCTCCACCAAATTCAGTAAAGCTAGTTCAATCGATTATCTACATCGAGTCGGCCCGTTGAACCGGAAATAATGCGAAATAGCTTTGAAATGCGCGCTTAAGCTAGTTTTCCTCAAATGTATATTTGAATTTATGATAAATACAGCTCTACCAGCTTCAAACAGCGTCTGTGGCAGAGAAAAATTGTTTTGACATGACAAAATTAATTTTGCAAATCATGTGTGTCACTGTGGTGCAGTGGTCAGGCAGTTTCTTGCACGTGCAGATAAACCGGGTTCGACTCCCGGCGACGCTGCTTTCTGTTTCTTGGTACCGTTTTTTTCCCGGTTTCGTCTATTTTTTTTAACACTATTTTTCCTTTTGGCCTTTTTTTCTTTATTCTTTTTGCAGACCCTGCTGCATGCTGCTGGTCATGCACTTGGATCAATATATATTTTATTTTAAGCTTAAATCCGGAGTTTTATTTTGGAAAAAGGGATTTCAAAAGCTCTTGATCTGCACACTGACCAAGCTTACGACCGGATAAAAACCATAAGCTGTCAAGACATGTCCCTCCTCTGAAACAGCTGAATTTTTTTCAATGTTAGTTGGCATCATGACAAACACACACAGTACACCACAAACTGTACTACAGTCGACTCTCGATAACGCGAACCCTCGCTAACTCGAATCAAACTCGATTTCTCCTGGATTACCATCATACATTCACTGTAATTTTACCCTCGATAACTCGAACTCACGCTAACTCGAACCAATTTTCGTTTCCCCCAGGTCATTTTCTATATAATTTTACCCTCGATAACCCGAACCATTTTTTGAGCCCTTGAAAGTCGGGAAAAAAGCCGTCTACTGGCGTCCGAAACATTGAATTTTGGATCAGTCCTAATGACGTGTTGTAGGAGTATAGTTTACTAGTGGAGGCTGATGTTCATTGTCACAGGCTAACGTGAAGCAGCTTTTCTTCTCAAAACAGTAAAACGAATGCTCTATTTAGGCTATGTTTTGTTACGTTACATTCTGATTTATGGATCTAGAAGTATCTTTAATTTTCACTTGACATTTCTGCAATTAAATGTGATTCCAATGTTCCCTGTGCAGTAAACACTGTTTTTTACCTTACCGCTCGGCTATTTTCTTCGAACTCCCAATAACTCGAACCTTTTTTCGATTTCCCTTGAAGGTTCGAGTTATCGGGAGTCGACTGTAATTTACACCCAACACCCGCCAGTGACCCACTGGCGAAAGTTAAACTTGCCTTTTGTACATCATCATAATCATCAATATTATTACCCTAAAATCTCCACTGGGTTTGCCCCAAAAAAGTAATTAAACGAAACCATTTATTCGTTTTCGGGATTACAGAATTACAGGTGTATGCCCAATACAGTATTAAAAGAGGTCTTAATGCGGTAAAGCAACAAGATTCAATGCTCACAATCTCTCACAAATACCTGTCATTTAGCTTCCCCTTTCAACGCTACAGCTAACCGAACTTTGAGAGGAATGATAGGGGGTTTCACTAGCTCTGAAGAGTATAATACATCCTTTGATGAACCTCCTATTGCTGTGTCTAAACTCCTCAATCTTGCTGTTCACTGGCCCTCAAAAGTGTGACCGGTCGGTATTATTGCCCGTAAAGTTTGCCTAACGATTGAAAGGAATCTTTTTAAATTCATTACACCACTGAACATTTCGTTCCAAAAAAATACTTAAATCTAGTTTTCTATGACAATAGAAACCTTGAAATCTCCAAATCCAAGAAATCGGAACGGTATTTCCATGATAAAATCGAAATTTTTATCCGTCTGGATTCGATGAACACTTGAAAGTCACTGACACGGGACGTGACGTCATACTGGCAGGCGGACTGTACCACAGATTTCCTTGGACACACCTTCCCCCCCTGGATAACACCATGTTGAGAACCTCAACTAAAAGTCACTTTAGATGATCGCAGATTATATTTTATGAAACTTTTAGGTTTCTGTGTGCACTACATGATCCTTCGGGAATAAGATTTAACATTTTTACGAACCCAATATATTTTATTTCTTTTAGTCGCAAAATTCTGTATCTGTGTCTGGAAGTTACATGGGATTCAGCGCCTCCTTAAAAGTCGATGTTAACGTGTTCAAAGAGTCAATGTCAAAGAACACCAGATTTGGGGAGCATAAGGTGGTATTCAAGTCTGGAGGATCAAACCTGCCTGAGCCCATTAGAATTAAACTGGTGCCAATTACTGAAGCTTTTGATCCTGCTTTTTACTCCGTCTTGGATAAACGGTCGTTCGCACGATGCGTTCATTCTAATTCTCTACTCAAAGCGCGCAAGACGGCGGTCATAAGGGCATTAAATGAATATCCTCGCCTTAAGAAAACCGTGAAACCTACAGGTACGAGTCTATTATAGAGGAAGTAAAAAATAGATAGCATCGATGGAAATGTCATAAACTTAAGAACGTTACTTTTGTCAGAAAATCTGAGGGAATCTTCATGTTTCCAGGAAAGCTAAAGAAATGCGTAAACATTGTTAATCTGAGGCCTGTTTACATGAAGGTGAGGGACCCCAGGTGGTTGGGTAACCCTCCCGTTCATATAATCTCTCATATGGTCACCTCATGTATCGTGTAAACCTGATCAGTTTGAATTGGGACATTATATCAAGAGGACGGTTAGCTCACCTATTAAAAGTGTTTTACCTGATCTACCTGGGGTCCCCCGCCAGTCGAGCAATGACGAACAATAGGTAGATTTTGCAAGGCCAACGGGTGAATTCGTAAGCCCCAAAGTACATGTTGAGCACCACTCAGAACTAGAAAAAAAGTATCTATTCAGTGCTTGACTGTATCTTATTATAATTAGATCCCGAAGTGCGCATTCCTTTAACCTGGCCTGAGGGTACATACGGTCTTCCCATGCCTAAGTCGGGGTGCCCGATATGGAGATGGAGACGGAACTTCCGGTGGCACTGGGGATATCGCTACCACGACACTGAAGATAAACGTTCAAACAACCAGTGGTCATCTCCATTTGATTTGGCTGGTCCATACTACAAAAATAATATGTACCAAAAGTTCTGCATGAAAACAAAACACACAGCTTCTGATTACAACCTACCCTGGCCAAAAGGGCAATACTGTATTCTCAAGAAAGGGAAATGTCCCGGAGGTTTGTGTTATTTGTTTGATTGTTTTTGTTTGTTCAAGCCAATTTTATATAAAAATAGTCAGTCAGCTAGACTGTTTAGACAGCCCGTGGGGTTAACATGGTAGTTTGTTTCTAGTTATTTGTCTTTTTGAACGTCAGTTTAAGCCATGACTTGATTGACCAGTCAGATAAATAAACAGATTTTCATACCATCAATTGACGAAAGACAAGTCACTTTGACTCTGAAGATGACTACTGCACTGGTTTTCGAAACTTCAGTCACCCGACTCACGGTAGATTCATCTGGACCGCCTAGTTATGAGATTCAAGTTGGCAAATGATAATGATGATGATGATCATGATTATAATGACGACTGATGATAATAATAAGTAATAATAACAGGACTGAGTGGAGTCCAATTCGGTCTGTAATCATACGAGTGATAGTCCGATTTGTTTAATCACGAGTATGATTACAGACCGAATTGGACGACACGAAGTTCTGTTACCAATTAATCATAACTTTGACAAAATTTGTGATGTAATAGGCTATTTTTTAAATCAAAACTAGCAGTGAAAAAAAAGCCATTTAAGCGCGCGCATGATGGCGCGTAGTGTCCAATTACTTAGGCATGACGCATACTGTCCTATTAAACTGTCCAATTAAGGCTGAAATCAGGGCAGTTGATAGCCAATCAGATTTGACAATTTTGTTATAGTTATGATTACAATGATAATGATTACAATACCATGAATTAAAACAAATCGTTCTAAAATGGCGTCTTCAGTAAGAAATTAAAAGGGCCAAGCTAAGATAAATTCGTATGGATCTCAATGACCCTCTGGTGGTACTGAAAAAATCTCTTTGATGTATAATCTATTAATCACACACAGGGTTTACAGAGGGACACATAAAATGGGATGACGAAGATCGTAGGAACAGGAACAGATATGGTGGTCAGATTCCAGATGGTCTTTATGGTAGAAACACCGTTATCTACTACTGCTGTCGAGCAGATGGGTACGCCACAAATTCCATAATTCTTCCCACTGACTCCCCATTCGTCTTGCTGAAATCTAACACTCACTTGTGCCAGTATGTGCAAGGAATGAAGGTTAGAAGTGAGTGGTTCTATTGGGATTGTGAAAATAGAAGGCCTTCAAATGGAGTTGGTGGGTTCCGACCACGCTCGATCGTGGACAGAAATGTCAGACTCTATTATTGTTATTATTATCGTTGATTAAACAGCGATTTTCTGGATTTCAATAGCCCAATATGTAATTTCAGGGCATAAAGTAGCTCTCAGAGGAAAACGAAATAAAATGTGTATTGGAATCCATCCTACGTCGTATGTCATACGAACCGTGACTGAGTGAGACTAACTTATAATTTGAGTGAGTGAGACTGTAACTTATAATTTAAGGTATAATCGAGGGTCCTCAGTAGAGTTCTATAAACCTTTCATCCCGACGTAAATTTTCCCACAATCGCGTAATCCCCATGGTGATTTTTGTCATCCCGCATCCCGTACGTAGCTCACAATCATTTTGCTTAGAAGTTCCGGAACCCCTCAGTCTCCCGCCCGTGTCGTGAAGAGCCATCTGAGAGCTATATATAGAGGAGAAGAGTGCTCAATGCTTTTGAGGTTTTATAAAATATTCCAGCATTGTTGTCTCCTCACACAAACGCTGAGCGCGATACGCACACTACACCCTTTAAACTATTCAATTCACAGCTTAGAATCTTTCGTAGCAAGATGGCTCATGACTCAATGCGAGTAATTTTTGCGGAATACGCGTTTCCGCGATGGCGCTTTGAAAATCGCATTTCTGTTCCAGGAGCGTAAGCGTTCATATGAGCACACGCCCGTGCGTACAGCTGAAATCAGATTTTTTTTAATTTCCCCACAGAAGTTTTATCATTAATTCGGTATAACTGATAAAATTTTCACATTTTATTGGTGTTCCTGCCCGTCTGAAGGGTAGAAGTCTCGCCTTTGCTTGTAACCTTTTTAATGGCGTCATCGTTTTCCCCTTATTTTCTCGTTTACACTGTACTTTACAGATAACACTAGAAATGGGTAAACTAAACAACTAACTATTGCATTTTCCTTCGCATTTATTTGCTGAAACTGTCTTGCGGAAAACGCAGGAAATGCCATTTGCGAGACCTTTAGGGACTGGTCAAAAAGTATAGGGGGGGGGCCGGAGCATTTGGAAATGTGGTTGATAAAAAACACATGACCCACCCCGTCCCTTCGGCACAAAAATGACTGACCCACCCCTAAGGCAAGGTTGGAAATTGCATGACCCACCCCCTAGTTAAAACATGGATGCTCGGTTTCCTCTTAATGATCCAATGAAACCTTGTTCTGTGCTTGACAAAATTTGTTGATACACTGCTACAAGCAATATCAAAATCACAGAAATCATACCTTTCACTGAAAAGACGAATGTGAAAAACCGAACATTTCTTGTTTCAATGGACGTTATGAGTCTTGACACAAATATACAGCAAAACGAGGGTATATTGAAATTATCTGTCACAAAGCATATGAAAATTTCAACAAAGACAACCCATTCCTACACATTACTTGCCAGAAATGATTAGATTAATTCTCAACGAAAATTTCTTCCATTTCAGTGGAAAGCACTACCTACAAAACCATGGAACTGCAATGGGCACAAAGACAGCAGTTTTGATTCCTTTGCCAATATTTTCATGACATATATTGAAACAACAAATCATTGAAAAAGCAAGCTTGCATCACCTTACTACTGAATTCACGACCGAAACATTTGACACTGAGACTGCGTTTTTAGACACGGTTGTATACAAAGGCACAAGATTCAAGGAAAAATCTATCCTTGATGCAAAGACACATTTTAAACAGACGGAAAGCTTCTTGCACACACTTTTCACTTCGTGTCACCCTCCAGATGTTAAAAAAGAATTTGTCAAAGGAGAAGCCTTAAGAATCCTACGAAAAAACTGCTCAGAAACAACCTTTGAGGAAAATAATTCAAATTTTAAAAAAAATGCTTGACGGACAGAGGCTACCCACAATTTTTCAGGGGCACCCAACGTCAATTTTCGGAAAATATCTGTTCGAAAGACGATTTGAGATCTAGAATTTTCGGAACATTTGTTGTAAAATTTCTTGCTTGTCTGCCCCTCCCAGGATTTTTGAACAACTAAAAAAATGGTATAATTGCCCATTTTTAACGGATTTTTACCCTAAGGTCACCTAGAATTTTCGGGAGCCTTTTTTCTGGTTGAAATTTTCGAAAAGGTAAGTTTTAATCCCTACAATTTGCGTATCACAAGACTTTCAGCTAGGAGATCCGAACAGATGAAAAATTTTTAGGGGATAAAAATATGCCTATATCTACTGTTTAAATACTAAAATACGTTTAACAATGCTACGTTTAAGTGGTTTTGAAATATATTCTCGTTTGTTGCCCCCTATCTTTGATAGAAAATCTACTATCAGAAAAAGAATTCACAAAAGGGAGTCTAAACTCCTAAAACAAAACAGCAAGGAGGAAAAAGAAATATTGCCATTCGTGACACAATACCAGCCCTCAGTGTCTACTATAAAGGAAGCTTGAATGAAAAAATGGAATGTTATACAAAACCAACTATAACTTCAATAAATTTTTAAAGAACCACCAATCATTTCCTTACAAAAAAGGAAAATCGTTAAAGGACATGCTTGTTAGAGCCGAAAAAAATAAGGTTAACGGAGGGTTGCACCCCCGTATAGATGTGCGGCTTGTCAACCTTTGTATTTTCTCGCACAACAGGTTTGTGAGTATTTTAGCAATAATTCCAGCTGGCGGTGTTTTATATAACAAGTGTAGTCAACTGTCTCGTTAGTAGTTAGTAAAAAATAGGGTGACCCACCCCCTAAGGGTAGCTGAAAATTGCACGACCCACCCCTTGCACAAGGCTCAAAACCTCATGACCCACCCCTCTCTGCTCCGGCCCACCCCCCTATACTTTTTGACCAGTCCCTTAATTTCGAAATTCTCAGCGTGTTCCCCCAGACCCCCTAGTTAAGAGCGCCTTCGGCGTTCTACCTTTTCTTCTCATGCGTACACCTTTAAAATCTCACTCTACTCCTCTGTCTTCCCCTCTTCTTCTCCCATTCCTCACCCTCTAAAATGGGAAAGGAAGATATTCTCTCGAAAAAACATCCCCCTCGAAAAAGCGCTGCTTCACACCTGCACAAGAAAGAATGGAGCACCCGTTGAGAGAGCTCATCTGCATTACAACAAAGGAGCTCAATATCTCAGATTGAAGAAGATTGGGCCATTCACTAATTGCCTCAACTTTCAAGTGCGAAACCATGATATGAAAATGATTTTTATTCTCATGCAAATAAAACTCATTTTCACAGCAAAGGTTTTGCACTTAACCTCGTTTTGAAAAAGGCAGTTTATGACCTCTGATTATACAAGAAGTTCATACAAGAAGTTCAGTCAGATATGTAGTTTTCTCCAAACAGCCAGGGCAGCAGTTTAAGTGATAAATAGTGAGGAATTGAAGGTTAATATTCGTGAAAGTATCTAATTAACGCGCTTAAATTTACATCATACGTACCGCCAGTCATCCCATGCCCGATACACTTTGTATTCAAGTTTTACACCAAGTGGTTCAGAAACCGAAATGTTTAACCGGTGTGTCTATTTATCAAGTTATCCGATATGTTGTTCGTGGAAAATTTCTAGTGTGTGCGGGTTGCCAAAGGGCACTGAAGCTTAAAACTAGAGAGCCAGAAAATGGCTACCTTCAACCTGGGTTAAGCGAATTTTAAGCAAACTTTTGTCTTTTAGAATCATGTAATTGGGACCGGTTTGGAAATTCAGTTATCAAATATGACCAAACTGGCGATATAAAACAGTCTACGGAGATAAGCGCAATCGAACGCCATTTATTACTATTTACAGCGGTCTTGCCCAAGCGACTATATAAGACACATACACCATGCATTCATTATCGTCTTCGAGACAAGTCACACAGGTCTCATCATGGCTTTATTATACGTGCTCGTCTAACTCCTTCCCTCCTCACCCTTTCGCCTTTCCCCTTGTTTCTTCATTGGCGTTCGCCGCTTCCTTTCTGCCTCCTTTTTTTTATTTCCATCGGCCTCAATTTCTTGGGCTATGCTCGCGGTAAGTATCTCGTTTTGTAACCTAGATTTGGACGTCTGGAAAAACCGGAAACCGGAATCCGGAATAGGAACGGGAATGGGAACAGGAACCGGAACCGGAACCGGAAACAGCAACGGAACAGAAACAGCAATGTGAAGGGGAACCGATACAAGAACAGGGATATCATTTACTTTAAATTATTTTAATTCGAATTCAATTTATACAAAAAATAAGAACACTACTCTGGTATCATGCTCCCCCCCGAATCTCTTTATAATACGGCAGCAAGGAGGTAGAAAAAGCCGCAAGTTAAATAAGTAAAGCAACAGCTTTGCGAGTGCATCGTATCGCGCTTTCTGTCAAATTCTTCACCGCGTATGCACAACTATGATGTAAATGATCAAATCTTAAGTTCTCTTAAGAACGTGAACGACAGGCAATAAATTTTATTGTGTCTTTCTGAGCTCGGACGCGGTCTCCAGTTTCATTTCCCAACCTTTAAAAGACTGGGCAATTTGGAATTAATGAGAAATAGTTTGAATTAAGACCCGAATTCAGTTTCTCAGTGGCGTTTTCGCTGGCGTTGCCGTCGTCAGATCCCAGTTAAGGTTCCTTTTGTCTCTCACAGGAAGGTGGTTATCACATGTTAATATTATTTGTCAGACCATGTGTATACGAGACACCCATCGGAGACGTTTATTGGGCTGCCATACACCTCAGGTTTGCTCCATAGATATATTGTACGGTGCTAAATTGGGAAGTTAACCAGAGATAGATAGTCCACAGCTTAAAAAGGGTATTAACATGTACTTCCTCCCCCTCCCCCCCCAAAACCCATCTCAGCGGCCAGTACTTCATCTACCTCAACCGCGTGCAATAGGGACCTTAATAAGCAAGCAGAACGTTGACGTCCAGGACATTAAAAATGGAAACTGGAAGTGGATGTTTTCTGTCTTTAGGTGCTCGGACTCAACAAATTCGCACACTGGAAGGCAAGAGGAAGAATTCAGATTCGTTGTGTGAGACAGAAGCGTTCCATCAAGCGACGGTCAGCGTTCTCGTTGCTTAAGTTCGCTATTATGTTTGACACGAAAACACAATGTGTCATAGGCTAAAGATAAAGAAAGTTTAATTAGATTAACATTTCAAGGGTGTTTTCTTGTTTCTTTAATTATTTCT